GCAATGAGGGGAAACTCACCACCATGTGGAGGCAGGATCCGGGGACTCTCAGCGTCCCTTGTGTTCTCAGCCCCTATGCCAGAGGGAGGCCCAAGGGAGGCTGGGACTCGGTACTCTCTGATGTAGTTTTAAACATGGTGAAGTTTGTGGTTTATATATCTTAACCATCTTCCCCAGGAGGCAAACCTGCAGAGATGGGCACAGAGGACATCAGAGAGGCATGAGGCATCTTGCCACATGTGGAAGCATCTCACTTGAAATTTGGAAATTCAATCTGTATTTGTCAGAGATGATGAAGGAGATCCTGTAGTGGGAGGATGTTGCAGTCGCTGAGCTGGGAGTCACTCTGGACCCACACCCAGCAAGTGAGTCTGAATCTTGCTCCAAGTTTCAAGGGGATGAATTCTGCCAGTCTCCTGGATAAGTCCAAAGTGGACTTCCCCAGGCTCCAAATAAGACCCCAGAGTGGGTCTGGTGAGTTGGTAGAACGGATAAGGGTGCTTGCTCAGCTAGCCTGACAAACTGAATCCAATCCCTTGGACCCATGGAGCCCAGGGTAGAAGGAGGGAACTGACTCCTGAAAGTTGTCCTCTGACCTCCACATGCTGTGGCATGTCTGAGTATGCACACACACACACACACACACACACACACACACACACTTTTTAAAAAGGTTTCAGTTTGACTTCTGCCTTGTGGGGCCCCAAAGAGATAGAGAGGAATTCAGTCAGCCCTAGACTTCTGACCTCCAGGGCTGACAGACGACAGAGAGTTGTTTTATGCTATTTGTGGTGACTTGTCACTGTATTAGCGGTGGCAGGAACGGCAAGGGCATGTGACCACCAGCTTGGGGAGCCCCTTTCCCGCTTGGGGACCTCCACTCAGACAAAGTCAGATTCTTGCCTAATGTGCAGAAAACAATTTCAGAGTGAGTATGAAGTAAAGCTAGCGAGATTCTTATATATCTAGACAGAGTCATATAGGAAAAGGAAAGTATGTGCCCAAGACATGGGTGATGGCTTCTTGAGAGAGCCCTGCTTATGTGCCTTTGCAAAAGCTCCCCATATGATTCCTGTCTGGCCTGGAACTTGCTATATAGACCAGGCTGACTTTGAACTCTCAAGACATCTGCTTGCCTCTGCCTCCCTAGTGCTGGGATTAAAGACATGTACTGCCATGCCTGGCTTAATCCCGTTGTTTCGTAAGTTACATTTCTCAAAGGATATAACTTACACCAAGGTTTAAAGGTTAAGCAGAGTGTAAATTTTACGTAAAAACATATGAGCTGGCTTACTTATTTTTCTTTTAAATATTTTTAATGTTATTTTTAATTGTATGTATATGTGTGTTGGTGTGGGTTTTTGCAGTGCCTGCGGAGGGCAGAAGACATCAGATCCCCCAAAGCTGGAGTTATGGGTAGTTGTGAGCTGTTGGGGACCCCTGTTGTGTAAAGTAGCAGTCTCTCCATGTCCAGATAGCCTATGGGCTCGGCTTCATATGCAGAGACTCCTTTTATCAGCAGGGTGCCTTCCCCGGCATCATCCTGACTCATCTTTTGAAGTAGCCATGGCCTCCACAGCTCTGGAACTGCCAGCTTTTCCTGTGTGATTTTCAGGCAGTCTGACAGCCTGGCAGGAGCCCACCTCTACATGTAAATAGGGCATCCCACAAAGTACCTATCAGCTAAGGCTTTTACCACTACCCCCACAGTATAAAGTATCCTGGTTTTCCCTCAATAATCAGAGCTGGATCACTAAGACTTGGAGCCCAGCTAAGTCACTGAATAAAGGGGCTGTACCACTGACTGAGCTGAGTTCTGTGTGTGATCCTGCCTCTCCGGAGAGAGCCTCTCTCTTCGTAAACCGCGACACACAGAAATCCAGCTTTTGCCATCTCGGCACCTTCCCATGCGATCCGGCAGCTGACGGATCTCGTATCTAGAGGAAGTGCTTGGTGGATTGGGACGGAACCCGACCGGGCCAGCCCCGGTAGCAGACAGCCTCAGCGACGCAGAGAAGCAGGGACCCAAACAGCAACGGTGCGGGACCTGCCGCACCCCAGGTGCGCGCAGGAGACCTGCGCCACGCCCAGCAGCTGGCGCTCCAAGATCCTTGCGCCCCCATAGTGAGCCACCAGATGTGGGTGCTGGGAGCTGAACTTGGGTGCTTTGGAAAAGTAGTATATGCTCTTAACTGCTGAACTGTCTCTCCAGCCCTTAAATTTCTCAAAGAATCTCATTTCATCAATTAATGGGTAAGGTGGTTTTAGAGAGAGGAGTGTTCACAAATGCTCTGGTCCTAAGCAAGCACAGCCTCGTGTGTTATTCTGAGCTTCCTTGTCTGAGATGGCTTTAGGAAAACATGCATTCCTCCTTTGGCTTCCTCAGCTATGTTTGATCTCAATCAGCAGGAAAGGCAAACCAGACACCGGGACAAAGGACTTCTTCCCTTCCCACATTTCCTTAACTTTCATGTTTTCTATCCCACCCCAACTACAGAAACAGAAAAAAGACACAAGCTCTCTGTGATGGTTCGAACATGAAATGTTCTCTACCAGATCACGAACTGGAGACTTGGGCTGCCAACTGATGGGCTTCCTGACTGAAGGCTCTGACCTAATCAATGGATTCATCTTTTGATGAATCATAACAGAATAGCTTTATTGGGAGGTGGGAAAATGTAGAAGGTGGGCCTAAATGGGGGAAGTAGGCTATGTGGTGGGAGGGCTGTCTTTTGGAATTACAACTTGGCCTGTATCCACCTCCCCTTCCCCTGGGCTGGCTTTGCACTTGTGGCAATCCTCCTGCCTCAGCCTCCTGAAGGCATATACTACCACACTCTTTCTGTAATGCCTGACTGATTTCTGGCCACTGTGAAATAAGCTGCTCTGTTCTGCCATATGGTCCCCATGACAGACTGGCATCCCTGAAATCTTGAATTTATACATTGTTCCTCCTTTAAGCTGGGATTTTTCCTTCCTTCCTTCCTTCCTTCCTTCCTTCCTTCCTTCCTTTATCTCCCCATCACTTCTTTCTGACTTTGTGTACTTTCTTTCTTTCTTTTTCTTTCTTTCTTTCTTTCTTTCTTGTTTCGTCTTTTTGAGACAGGGTCTCCCTGTAGCCCCAGCTGTCCTGGAACTCACTATGTAGACCAGGCTAGCCTTGAACTCACAGATATCCACCTGCTTCTGCCTCTGAAGTGCTGGGATTAAAGGTGTGTTACACCCAGCCTTAGAAATTTATTTTAGGTGTTTGAGTATTTTGCAAGTATAAATGCGTCCAATGGCTGCAGAGGCCAGATAGGGCACTGGGGCTCTCTGGAACTGGAATTACACAGTTATTAGAAGTGGGTGCTGGGAATCAAATTTTGGTCCTCTGCAAGAGCAGCCCATGTTCTTAACCGCTGAGCATCTCCCCAACCCCACTTTTAAACTTTACCATTATACCTACTTTTCTTAATTTTGCTGTCAGAGGAGAAACTCAAGTTCCATTTTTGGCGGTAATGTTCATGGTTGCCCCTTTGTGTTAGATTTTTGTAAAATAAAAGAAAGATAGACGGTAATGTTCATGGTTGCCCCTTTGTGTTAGATTTTTGTAAAATAAAAGAAAGATAGAAAAATAGGAGACAAGGGCTGGGCATAGTAGCACACGCCTTTGATCCCAGCACTTGGGAGGCAGAGGCAGGCGGATCTCTGTGAGTTCAAGGCCAGCCTGGTCTACATAGTGGATTCCAGGTCAGCTGGGGCTACAGGGAGACCCTGTCTCAAAAAGACCCGCCCCCCCAAAAAAAAAGAACCACACCCTTCATTCTTAACTGATGTACCCAGAGCAGGCACAGTGGGCGGCAGGCTAGGTCTACTCTACAGAAGGAGCTCAATTAAAATTCCAGGGTTAGGGGAGAGGGAGTAGCTCAGTGGCAAACGACTTGCCTACTATGTGTGGGGGGTGGGGTTTATACCAGGGTTGTGGGACACAGCTGCACTTAGTGAGGAGTTGAGTTGGTGCCCGGGCCTCGTGTCCTTGGAGTGACTGAGGGTTTCCATCTCAAGATTATTTCTCCCAAAACTGGCAGGAGTGTAATCTATGGCCTTAGAGGAGACAGGTGAGCTCCACAAACACTTTCTCTCAGGCTTGGGAGTGACCAATTGATAAGGGGAGAGCAGAGCCAGGTTTGAGCAAGGCCAGGCTGCCAATTTAGGGCCAGTTAGACACTTTAATGGATTTATGGCTTTTCTTAATGAGGCTTGTGGCTCTTCTGCAATTCACACATTCTATCACTTTTTTCCTCAGAGGAATCAGGGTCACTTGCGTGCAGTGGGGTGTGGTGGTACACACCCTTAATCCCAGCACTCCAGAGGCAGAGATTGGTGGATCTCTGTGAATTCCTAGTCTACATAGTGACATCCTGCCGTCCCCCCACCATCCCCAAAAAACAGTAGCTAGAAGGAAAGAGTTTGCTCAGCATGTTCAAAGCCCAGGAAATAAAAAAACCACCACAAACAAAACCAGAGACTCCAGGGCACAGCCAGAGTTCAGATCCTGGGCTTCCAGGGAACTGCAATAATTTGCATTGCTAAAAAGCGCTTCCCCAGGGGCTGGAAAGATGGCTTAGCGATAAGGAACAAGGCTGCTCTTGCAGAGGACCTGGCTTCGAATCCCAGCACCCACATGGCAGCTAACAACCATTCATAACTCCAGTTCCAAGGGATCCGACGGCCTCAATTGACCTCTGTGGGCATTGCAGGACACAGGTGCACTTACACACATGCAGGCCATACACACAGAAACAAAATTTAAAAAAAAATAAATAAAATATTAAAAAAAAACGCTTCCCCAAACCCTGTCCTGGCCCTCCCGCTGGAAGGACGCCGAGCTCCACCCTGGGGGCGGGGTCCGAGGCCCCGCCCCCCACCAGCCCTCCGCTCTCATTGGCTGTCGCTACGAGCCATCTCAGCGCTCCGCTCCGCCTCCGGAACGCTGGGGCCGCCGCGCGCCTGCGCAGTGGGGCGGCTGGAGGGGCCGGAGCTGCCTAGGGTCGCGGCCGGCGGGTGTAGGTGGCGGGATGGCGGCCGAGGCGCAGCCCCTACTGGGCTGGGACCGCGGCGGCCCGGCCGGTGGTGAGTGAGCGGCGCTTCCATTTTCCCCTTTTCTTTTATCTCTGTACTTTTTTGAGTCTTGGTCTCGAAGTGGCCCAGGCTGAGCTTGAACTCTGATCTGATCTTCCTGCTTCCACCTGCCAAGTGCTGGGATCACAACCGTGCAGCACCGCTCACTTCTGATTGCTTCTTCCTGTTTCTTATGGGGAAACTGAGGCCGGGAGAGGGGGGAGAGAGAGAGAGAAGAGAAGAGAAGAGAAATAGGAGAGAGGAGAAATAGGAGAGATTCCCCTTCCCATGGTCCCCAAGTAGCAAGGGGCCAAAGAATTATCCCATCCATCCAGGAGGTACTTTGGGGTCCTGGCTGGGCTGGCCAGGTGTCGGCTCCCTGCCCCCTTCGCCCTTCAGGCTCTGCTGTCCTCTCCTGCCTTCTTCCTGGCTTCCTGTTTATGGCCATAAACATTGCTGAACCCAGGGAGGGTGGAGCCTTAGCCCCAGTTGTCTGTCGAGGGAATTAGTTGTGAGCTCAGAGTTGGAAGGATCTTGGTGTCATTTTCCAGATGAGGAAACTGAGGCTGAGCACCCTGCCTACCCTCCGATGGGATAAGCTCACTACCCTGTGTTCTGTGGTCCCTGCCAACACTGAACAGGGTAGGCAGGCCTGGCTGCTCCTCTTCCCTCTGTGGACCTCGGAGGGGACTGCTTTGGCCCAGTGGCCTCCTGTGACCCATAGGATGTGCCTGTCCGTGGAATAGTGAGACCCCGGAGGTCCCCAACAGGAGATGAGGAAGCTAGAGGCCGAGGTGACCACAGATCCACCCCTCCCCCCTCCCAAGAGTCTTCATTGCTTAATGGGGGCCCTTCTAGCCTGTCCCAGGTGTTCAGGCCTCTTGGCTAGCAGTATGTTTGGTTCAGGGGACACTGGCTTCAGGGGAAACTGCTTGACAGAGGACAGCCTGGGTGAGGGCTTAGAGGCTTGGAGAGCCAGGCCTTGGCAGGGTCAAGTTCAGAGTGTGGCATGGCTGGGGCAGGATAGGGAAACAGCAGGAGAGTGGCTGGGTGGGTAGAATGTGTCTTCACAGTGTCAGGTTGGGGTGGAGTGTGGGCCTGAAGCCGCAGGTTACCCCATCTCACAGGTGGACATACCGGGGCTGCACAGGAGGTAGAGGTGGGATGGTCCTGCAGGGTGGTGACAATAGCCCCTTTGCTGAGCCCACTTGAGTTGTCATGCCCACAGGAACTCCTGCACCTCATTCACTCATAGCACCCACGTGGGAACCAAGCAGGTGACCAGTAGCATCCAGTTGACAAGGGTGACCACATGTGCATGGTCCATGTCAGCAGATGGGGGCTGGATCTGAGCCCTGAGCATGGTCCTGGGCTCTGCAGGGTGCCACTGCCTCTTGTGTCCCTTCTGCACATGGTCCCCTGGCAATGACAGTCATAGGATAGAGCTGTGTCTGGGCTAGGTCTGATGTCTTGGGCCCATGCTAAGTGTTACTTACCTGACTAGGACTCTGACCTGGCCAGGTGCTCACTGTAAATGGCCTCTGGCTGAGGACAGCCACAGCTGGTTTCCTGCTTCTTTGTAGGGGTAAGATCGTGGTATCCCGCTTGCTCACCTGCTGTGTCCCCTTTGTCTGCAGATGCCACAACTGTGCAGGACCTCTGCATAGACCAGGCCGTGATCTTCACTGAAGATGCTGTAAAGGTGTGTGGTGGCTGCCCCACTGGCCAGCAGTCCTCCTTGATCCCTTGTTCCTTACTGTCCTGAGGCAGGAGCCTCCGCAGCTGGCCTGCGGGTTGGGACAGTCGCCGTGGTGGGCACCTGGGCCTGACCCTTTTGATTTCTGTGATGGAGATAGTCTCCTGAGGGGTGGAATCCCGAAGTCACTGACTTAGCATGCACCGAAGCCTGTCTTGGGCCACCCTGTGCTAGGTCCAGGGGCAGCAGATGCCTGGGGGGTGGATTCAGTTGTACAGGAGATGTGGAATGGCTTTGAGGAGAAGAGAGGCTTGTATAGGGGCACAGGGCACAGCCACAGCCTGTACTGAGGGAGCTCATGGTCTGCTGGGCCAGCTCTGCGGCTTGTACCAATCTGAGCCCAAGGGCCAGCAAGGGGCTCTGTGGATTTGCTTCCTATAGTCATTTCTTGGACTGGGCCTGTCTTGGTGGTGACACTGCGCTGGGTGGGGATACCTCCCTCAGGGCACCTGTGTGTTTGGTACGAAGGGGAACCCTGCTCAAGCCTCTGTATGTGTGGTATGGGTCGGGGGTGGGGGGTGGGGGGGCACAGGATGGAACGACCCTGCTCACATCTCTGTGTGTGTGGCATGAGGGGAACTCTGCTCACTCCCCTCTCTGTGTGGTACTGGGGACCCTGTTCCTAGACTGTGTGTGGCACCTGGGGAACCCCACTCATGCCCTTGTGTGTGTGGCGCTGGGGAGAGCCTGCTCATGTCCGGTGTGTGCAGCCCTGAGAAATCCATCCTCCGTGTTCATGCCCCCTCTGTGTGTGGCACAGGTTGAGGGGAGACCCCTGCTCACGCCCCATGTACCCCTTTGTTTTTAGTACCGCTCCATCTACCACCGCATGGACGCGGGCTCGTTGTGGCTCTACCACTGGTATTACTCGAACACCTGCCAACGGTGAGAACTCAGGCTCTGCTTGGGCGGGTCGGGCCCTACACCTGACTCGGGCTAGGCGGACTCCCCGTCCTCTTGGGCACAGAGGTGACCCTTGCTCCCTCCTCCATGGAGGAACAGCTGTGGATAGAAGGTTGCTGGTGGTAAGGGCTTCCTTCTCAGTGTTTTGGGTCAGCTCAGGCCATCATGTTTTGGGTCTTGGGCAAAGCTGTGTTGCTTGGCTAGGCACATTGGGCACTGTGGGAAGGGCAGTGTTATTTGGCAAGGCATGCCAGCTTCTGCTTCCCACCCCCAGGAAGTGACCTGTCCCGGGCACTTTGACCAGATGTGTCTCCTTTCCAGGATGTTGGGCTTCACCATTTTCTTGATCCTGGCCTTGGCTTTTATTGAGACTCCCTCTTCGTTCACAAGTACTGCAGATGTTCGCTACCGCTCGGTGCCCTGGCAGCCGCCCTGTGGCCTGACCGAGACTGTGGAGGCTTTCTGCCTGCTGGTCTTCCTGGTCGACCTCTTCATGAAGGTGAGGCAGGAAGGACGCAGGAAGGACGCAGGTCTCAGATATGCAGATCCTGGTGTTTTCCTGATGCCCTAGACTGCCAGCCTTGTTGCTCTTGAACCTTCACCTTCTGAGCAAAGGCCTGTTTTTGTGGTTGTTGCTTATTTTAAAGTATTAATTTTAGGGGCTGGTGAGATGGCTCAGTGGTTAAGAGCACTGGCTGGTCTTGTAGCGGTCCTGTGTTTGGTTCCCAGCACCCACATGGCTACAAATAGCTATCTGTAACTCCAGTTTCAGGGGAATCCCACGCCCTTGTCTGACCTCCCTGGGCACTGCACGACACAGGTGGACTTACATCATGTAGGCGATATGCTCATAACCATAAAGTAAAAATAATAAACAAAATATATAAAGTATTGATTATTTTTATGAGATGAGGTCTCACTGTGGAGCCTTGGTTAGCCTGGATCTTGCTATGTAGACCAGTCTGACCTCCAACTCATGAAGTTCCACCTGCCTCTGGCTTCCAAGTGCTGGGATTTAAGCCATTCAACACCATGCCCAACTTTGCATTCATTTATGTATGTATGTATGTATGTATGTGAGTGTTATGCATGTGGGCATGTGTACCATGGCATGCATGTGGAGGCCAGAGGACAGCCTGTGGGAGATCACTTCGATATTTACCATGTGGACTCTGGGATTTGAACTCAAAAGAGTCAGGCTTAGGCAGCAAGTGCCTTTACTTGCCGAGCCATTTTCCTGGCCCAGTACTGGGTTTTTGCATACATCTGGGCACTGGTGCAGAAGCAGTGACTCTTCTCCCTTTTCTGGGTGGAAGCTAGTCTGGGCTGTTCCGTCGGGGCTGAACAGCCAGGGGGACCTTTGGGAGCTGTTGAGGGCCTAGCCTTTGTGAGGGGAGACCTCCCCCCCAACTGCATGAGAGGACAGTGGTCTCTCCTCATAGCTCCGTCTGTGATTCACAATGAGTAGAGCTGGGTGAGGTGTCAAAGACGAGTCTCACCTAGAGTCTGTGCGGCTGGATCCTTCTGGCTATGGAGGTGGTCCTCCCAGTGCCTTTAAACTTGTGGGCTGCATCTGACTGGAGGCTTTGGGACTTTTCAGTGAGGCATAGAGGCGCTGGGTCTCACTAGGCCCTGTGGTCTTTCATTTATTGTGTGTGTGTGTATAATGTATGAGTGTGCATGTGTGTGCCTTGTATGTGTGTATGGAGAGACCAGAGGACCACCTCTGACATGAGTCCTCAGAACGCTAACCTTTTTTTTTTTGAGACAGACTCACACTGGCCTGCAGCTTGCTCAGTAGGCTAGGCTGGCCGGCCGGCCAGTGAGACCCTGTCTCTGTCCCCTCAGTGCTGGGATTGTAAGTGTGCACCACCATACCTGCCCTTTCTTTATGTGAATTCTGGGGATCGAACTCTGCTTCTCGCAAGGCAAGCACTTTACTGATGGAGCCATCTCCCCAGACCTGGTCTGGTACTTTGTCAGTGATTCTAGTGAATGCCTGTGGCTTCAGCTTTCCCCTGGTCTCAGTCAGCACTGCTGTTCTGCACCCTGTTCTGTTATCTGTCCCCAGCAGCACCTGGAGACTGCACTGTTGGAGGGACTCTGTGTGGTTCCCGCCTCTGCCGGCATGCACTGACACCCTCTGACCGGCTGCAGGCCCATGTCTGCCCCGTGTTGACTCTTCACCTTTGCTGCCTCTCGTAGGGCTACCTGGTTGGGCAGGCCCAGTTGCAGAAGAACATGTGGCTGCTGACCTACCTCGTGGTACTGGTTGTGTCCCTGGTGGACTGGACTGTGTCCCTGAGCCTTGTCTGTGAGGAGGTAGGTAGTGTGGCAGCTCTGAGATGGTAGGGGCTCTGTAGGCATGGGGTGCAGGTGCAGTTGAGCCCTGCAGCCATGCGTCCATCTGCCCAGTGCTGCCCATATCTTGGAGGGCTTTGGGGTCTGAGTGCCTAAGGAGCCTTGCAGTCATCTCACAGGGGAGGAGCTGTGACTTGGAGAAGGCCACTGTTTCCTTTGGGGTGTCCTGTTGGTGAGAGGACTTGGAAGCAGGGTTTAAGTTGCCCTAATTCCTGGTTCTTTAGTTGCACTGAATTCACCTGGCTAGGTCCCTAACAAGAGTGCCATCCTGCCAGGTGTGGTGGTGTAGGCCTTTAATTCCAGCACTCGGGAGGCAGAGGCAGGCAGATCTCTGGGAGATTGAGGCCAGCCTGGTCTACATAGTGAGTTCCAGACTAGCTAGGATACAGGGAGACCCTGTCTCAAAAAGAACCCCCAAAAAAGAGTTCCATCCCAGGGCCTCGCCCTGCCCAGTAGTTATGAGCCTAGAACTATTTGAGGCTCGGTACAAAGCAAAACCTGCTCACTCTGCTGCCTCAGCTCTGACCACAGTGCCTGTTTCCTTACAGGGAGGTGTTAAGGGGAAGCAGGGTGGGGACAGGTTGGTTTGGCGTCAGTCTGTTGGGTTATGTTGAGATGGCAAACGATTTACACAGGTGTTGAGCTCAGTGAAGCCCAGAGGGGTAATGGGGGTGTGTGTCTTAGCACTGCAAGCCTTGGGGAGGGCTACAGAGCTGGCCCACCCACTACCCTTCTGGGTGGGGGCCACAGCAGGGCCTAGAAGCTATGAGTCCTGTCAGTGGAAACAGCTAGGGAAGGGAAGGGAGGGAAGCCCATCTCCTGCCACCAGCCTGCAGGCGGCAACCTCCCTGAGTCTCCACTTGGAGCTGCTGGGAGAGAGGCCTGTGGGTGATGGGTCCCTGTTCCTGTAGCCGGCAGAGGCTAAGGGAGGATGGGGTGCATACCCTCCCTGCTGTTGGGCATCTGCTGCCTCCTGTGTCCACTAGTGTCCTGCCCTCCCTTGTAAGTGCAGCATTGGAAGACACTCTTGTGTCCTCTTAGAAAGGGAGGGTGCCAGCCTCACAGCCAGCATTTATTATTGATAGTTTCCGTGTCCAGCTTTCTGCACCTCACAGGCTGTGAGCAACCTGACCTCCATGAAGGGTCCTTATGTGGTGCTAGGAGGGATATGGTGAGGAAAAGAGGCTCCTTGAGGTGCATACACCAGGTGGACCCAGCTAACGAACCTGGGTTGGAACATGCAGGCATAGAGTGGCCCTGGCCGTCTAACAGACCCCCACCGTCCCCTTGTCGGTCTGCTGTTTCTCTGTGCCGCAGAGCTTGTTAACCGGCAAGGTTCGTCACCTAGTTCAGTGACCGAGACCTTCACCCTGAGGGACCAGGTCCTCTGGTTCTGCCCTTTTTTGATGGCTGGAGTGTTGTGTTGTCCCCTGCCACCAGGCCCTCGTGTGTGCTGGGAAAGTGCTCTTGCCTCCAAGCCATTCCGTCAGCCTCCTGTCTGGGGTCTTTCCTGTTGGATGCTGGGTTCCTTGTCTTTCTAGTGGCAGTGCCCCGGCCTGTCCTCCAGAGTTGGTTATTTGCCCCACTGGGACCATCCCCTTCTGACAAGATGGGTTTCCACTTGGTGAGACCAGTGTGTGTCCCTGGTGGCTTCTGCCTTTGGGACTGGGCACTTCTAGGTCAGCGGGGTGCAGCATGGCAGGGCGGGCTGTAGAAATGTGCTCACCCCCACTTCTCCAGTCATACTGGGGCAGAGCCAGCCCTTCCAGAGGCCTTTGCTGGGCCCTGAACCCCTGGCTCCCGTCTGACTCTACCCTCTGAGGCTCTGGACTCTTCCCACAGGCTGCAGCTCTGGTGGCTACATTCAGGAGGGTCCCTCTGATCTTCAGTAGCATGTGCCACACTGAGGTAGTGGGCCTCGCTAACTGAATCATCCCCAAGTCCTGGACAGTGGTGCTGGAAGAGGCACCTTGGTCAGGGGTGCGTGGAGCATATCTGGCCAGGGGTGGATCAGTGTCCCACGTGGGAAAGGGCACAGAGTATGTCACCAGGGACCATGTAGGGCCTTGTGTTTGGCTCTTCTGGGTGTATCATGGGCCTCAGGCAATCTCTATCCCTGTCCCCATGGCCACTTTGTGTCGCTGAGTCCAGAAGGCATCTGCAGGGCCAGCTGTGTGGTGTCCTAGTTAAGCATTCCCGGGCCATGAGCTCCACCCATCCACACGTGTCCTCCAAGGTCCCTTGTTCCCAGTTCTCTATGAGTTCCCTATCCATTTTTGCTCAGGAAATGTGTCCATTTAGCAGGACCCTGGCCCTGCCTGCCACCTCCTCTCTAGGGGACTTTTTCAGGTGAGGCTGTCATGCCACCTGGGGTCCATTTCTGGTTGGGCAGCTGTGCCCCTCAGGACTTCTGCAAACTAGGCTTGTGGCTTTCCTCTGTGGCTGGCTGGGCTCTGCCACCACCATCAGGTGCTGCGTCGGGGGTGGGGTGGGGGTGCCAGATGCCTGATAGTCTTGTTGTGACAGATCGGTTGGGTAACACAGGTGGCTGTGCTCACCCCCGCCCACTCTACAGATGCTTTCTCTATGCTGGCATCTGGCTGTGATTCACACTGATGTATAGAGAGGACCATGTGGAAGTATCTTTGTATCCTCATCAAGGCTGGCTTCCCTGTCTGTGGCACTGCTGAGTCTGAGCAGCTGGGGAGACCCTCGGAGACTGTTATGTCCCCTGTGACTGCAGAGGTGGTCCAAGCTCCTGGAGTGGGGTAGGGCAGCCAGACCCTTCAGCTCCTGTGTGGCCTGTTAGGAGGCCTAGAGTACCCTAGGGGTGCTTAGCCATAAGGCAGAGCTGCCACTGGTCAGTGCGTGGTGGTCTGAGGAGCTGGGTACCAGTCCCTCTGTTATGGGACCTAGGCAGGGTCTCTTCCATCCTCTTAGTCTTCTTGGTCTGTTCCATGACCTGGGGTCCTTCTGAGAAGCATGAGCTCAGTCCAGGGGGACCAGTGAGGCTTTGGAAGGGTCCTTTAGGAGCCTGCCATGTGTGGGTGCTGGTGGTCCTTGTCCAGTGTCACCAGGTCCTAGAGAGAGAGAGAGACAGAGAGACAGAGAGGCTGCTGGCAGATTCTAATTCCAATGTGATGAACCTAAGGCTGAGGTGGGGGTGTAGGAGCGGGGAGGCATCAGGCTGGATGCAGAAGAAGGCTGTGACCTGCCACTTTAGACTGCTCAGAACTGCAGCCAGCAGGCCCAGGATGGGCCACAGTGGCCAACGCGTCTGCTTGCTCCTCTGGGCTCTGGGGTCCTTGGATGAAGGTCCAGCGACTATCTGCTCTCTTCCAGTCCTTCCGTGTACGCCGGCTGCTCCGCCCCTTCTTCCTGCTGCAGAACTCCTCCATGATGAAGAAGACTCTGAAGTGCATCCGGTGGTCTCTGCCTGAAATGGCCAGGTGGGCCCTGGGGGCCTCTCCTCTGTGTCTTCTCTCTGGCATGCCCCTGGGGTTCTCTGTCCTACCACAAATAGAGGACTCTGCTAAGGCTCCAGGTCCCTGTCCCCAGGGCTGAAAACACTCAGAGGATCTCCAGGTTGAGACAGGGACACTGCCCGTAGCTGGTCCCCTGGGCTGCTGCCCTCCCTCCCAGGGCCTGTGACTCTCACTGTGCTAGGCTGACCACCATCCTCTCCTCAGCGTCGGGCTGTTGTTGACCATCCACCTGTGCGTCTTCACCGTGTTCGGGATGCTGTTGTTCACCGTCAGCGAAAAGGTGTGTGTGGGCTGTGGGGTTTGCTGGCCTGTGGCAGAGAGAGAGCCTGCCTGCTCTGGGATGGCCTGGTGGCTGAGAATGAGGACCAGCCCAGGCCCCCGCACGAGACACAGACCAGCCCAGGCCCCTCATGAGACACAGACCAGCCCAGGCCCCACATGAGACACAGACCAGCCCAGGCCCTGCACGAGACACAGACCAGCCTAGGCCTTGCATGAGACATAGACCAGCCTAGGCCCCACATGAGACACAGACCAGGAGGTGGGCTGTGGCCCACCTGAATCCAGGCCTGTGTTTACGTGGCCAGTGCTCTTGCAGCCAAGGCCTGTGTCTGTCCCTGGCTGCCTGGTCTTGGGGCCCTTTTCTGTGCTGGGTACCTCTTCCCTGTCCTCTGGTAACAGGCTGTTCACTGAGAGTAGTTTAAAGATTCCTCTCTACTCTGGCCATGCCTCAGCCAGGAACTGCCCTTCCTGACACCTACTCTGCCCTACTTCAGAGGTCCTCCTTGCCTGGGCCCCTGAGCCCTGACTCCGGGGCTCCTACCCTGCCCAGCCCCACCCGAGACTTTGGCAATGCACTGGGGATGGGGGCTGTGTCTGCCTATTAATCCTACCAGGGTGTCTGCCTTGGGCTGTCCAGCCTTAGGTTCTCTGTATGTGTTCTCATGTCCAGCAAGGGTTGCGTCCAGGCCAGGGTCACTTCTCCAGCTGGGCCATCCTGTATCTCTGCATCTGTCTGAGGATGTGGCTGGTATGCAGTCAGGACTGGTTTTTATGAGGTGGAGGCGATGTAAGGATGGAGCTGTGCTATCCAGGGTGGGGGAGGCAGGATGGTGCTTTGAAACTCTGGGGAACTGGAGTAGCCCTGCATGTGCCTGCATGCATGTGTCTCTATGTCACCTGCTTGTCTGATGTCTGCACGAATGTGTCTCTGTAGGTAACTATAGGCTGTGTCACTGGTGTGTGTGTGCTTGTTGTGTGTCTGTATGTGTTATGTGTCTTCGTGGGTATCTCCATGACTGTGTCTCTAAGCATGTATGTCCATGGAGGGCAGAGGCAGTGGCTGATCTGCTGGGGTGGGACCTCTGCATGATTGTCTCATGACTATGGTTACTGTTGTCTGAGCCTGAGTCAGACTGGCAGGCTGTGGGTGGAACAGCCTCTGCCTTAGGATGAGGGTGTGGGCCTCGGCCCAGGAGTGCTGGAGTACTGAGCTGCTGCTTGAGCAGACGTGGGCTTTGCCCCATGAAGGGGAACCAGGCTGACCAGGGCCAGGGTTGTACAATTGAAGGTGATTGCCTGTTATGGTCTTGGTAAGGGCTCCATTCCATCCTTGGTTCAGTTGGGAGGGTGGGGGACTGACCTTTCCTGAGTTCCCTGTCCTTGGCCATCAGGCCTGAGGAACAGGTTGAGAACTTGGCCTGCGGTGGGAGCCTGCGGTGTGTCCTGGTTGTCTTGCCCAGTGTCTCCAGACTGCTGTTGGCAGAGAACTTTGTCCAAGTTCCTCTTGTAAGCAGAGTGTATAAATGGCCTGTTCAGCACCTGCCGTTTGTCATCATGCAGCTCCGACTCTGATTTTTTTTTTTTGGTGAGATCCAGGGCTGGCTTTAGGGGCTTGTGTCCCTAGCACCTCATGTGGGTTAGGGCTGTCACTGCACTTGTGGTGGGCTGGGCGGGAACCCAGGCTCCCTCTGCTACTCAGAACTGATTTGTAGAGGCACTGTAAGAGGCCTACTAGGAGATGGGCCAGGCTAGGGCTGCCTGCCTTGGAGGTTTCTCATTCCCCTGGGTCCTTAGTGGACTTGTTTGTAAACTGGTGCAGGTGTTAGAATCTTCCTTAGCCACCCTGAGCTCAGTTTCAGCGTGTTGAGGATATTTGGAGGATCTGGGGGCTGGGCTCAGCCCTCTAATCCTGCCATTCCTGGACACATGCTTAGGGGATGTTCTGTCCCTGGGGCCCTTCAGCTGAGTGGTATCTCTGAAGGCTCCTGAACCCAAGTGGTGCTGCTTGGTCTCCCCTTGGCACCATTCTGCTTGTGGCTCTGTGCCCAGCCGCTCCTGATCCTGTAACTTCTTGTGACATCCATGTCCCCCATCCTTAGTCATTTTATGGCATCTGTTACCACCAGCCTATTCATATGTCCTTGGGCCCCAGGCAGATGGATGACAGGACTGTTTTGTAGATGAGGACAAGCAGGTCCTGGGGTTAATGCCTGCCCTGTGCCCTCCCTGTGCAGGGAGGAGGGACTGCACCTACTTGTAAGAGCTTGGCAGGCACACAATGGCTCTGGGGACAACCCTGAGTTCAGAGTGCGGTAGCTCTCACCTCACAGCTGACACCCTGCCTGCATATTTACTGCCCTTCACGTCTGGGTTTTCCAGGAGGGATGGAGGCTGGGAGCCCAGGCATGGAGTCCCTTGCTAAGTGCTGTGGTAAGGCTCATCCACATGGACAAGGCCTCTGAATGTCACGAGTGGCCGTGGGCCCCTCAACTTCTGGAGCAGTGAGGTCTCCCCCAGGGGTTCCTGTTCAGAGTGGCTAAGGTCCCCTCTGCCGTGACAGCCTGCTTGAGGCCACGTGCTCCAGCCTGGGCCTCTGCCCTTCCTGCCCCTTCGTATCGCCTCCCTGTTGCACATAACACCTGTACTCAGGCTGGCTGGTCTTGTATGTGGTCACTTGGCTCCCGGACTGTGGCTAGCTGGCCCAGGTAGGAATGTCATTGTGGTTGGAGCCTTGCTTACCTTCCTTGAGTTCTGTCATGTCTGGCCATGAGGTCAAAGCCTGCTGGAAAGTGGTGGGCAGATGTAGGTCAGGGCTGCTGACCCCCAAGTGCATGGTCCCTGCTACTGGGTCTGAGTGGGAGCTCTCTTAGGCTTAAGGCCTCAGCTGTGTGACAGAGGTCAAGGCTGCCTCAATCTTCTCTTAGGATGAAGCCCAGGACAAGGAGAGGCTGGCCTACTTCCAGAACCTTCCAGAGGCGCTGACCTCACTCCTGGTGTTGCTGACCACTGCCAACAACCCTGATGGTGCGTGTGGACTGTGGGATCTGGAGGGGCAGTGAGCTGGCCTGGCAAGGTCTGTTGGGATGCTGAGCTGTGGGACCCAGCTGGACTGTGTGCGGCCTTTTCATCAGCGTGGGGAGGGTGATATGTGGGGCTCTCTCCTTCCTTCTTTTTGTCTTGTTTTCCCTTCTCCTGGAAAAGCTGAAAGTGAATGCTGGTCTGTGGCGTTGGCCAGTGGCCCCTCTTGTGGCCTCTTTGGGGCCTAACCACTTGTTCTCGCTGCCCAGGCCTGGCTGGTAGGTGCATACCGCTTGGGAGCATTGCGTGTGAGAGACCCTGGGGTCTTAAGCTGACCATAGTGGGGAGCTGCCAGGTCCCCCAACTGCTCTGCTGTGGGCTGTGGCAGGATGGGAAGGCTCCAGTCCTGGGCTCTTCTCTGGTCTGGCCCCTGTGACTGGACTCAGGGATGTATATACCTTGAGACCTTCCGAGGGCAACCTGGGATTCCCACCCTAGGATTGCTGTGCAGCCAGACCCTGAGCACTGTCCCTACCTGTCCCCGGAGCCCTAGCCAGTCACTGCTGGGGAGCTGGGTGGCGTGGTCACAAGATGGTCCATTTCAACTCAGGGAAGGGTGCAAGGTTGGAATCCAAAGAAGTCTCCAAGGAGCCCTCTGGAGAAGGGGCAGATCGTGCAGGTCATGAGGGAGACGGGGCCCGGTGCTGAGGTGTGTTTTTAGTCTTTCTGTTCTCTCCTTGTCTCAGTGATGACTCCTGCGTATTCCAAGAACCGGGCCTATGCCATCTTTTTCATAATCTTCACCCTGATAGGTAAGTGCAGGGCAGTCTGGGTGGACCCTTAGCTCGCTCCTCTCTGTAACCTCACCTCAGCCTTTCCCCCCATAGCTTCACCTCTACTCACCCCCAAACCTTCACCTCATCTGCCCCCTGAGTGAGCCCCCATACTTCACTTCAATCGGAGTGCTCCCCACCTCCACTTCCTCTCGTGTGTCCCCCCCCATCTCTGTGGTGGTCTGTGACACTGATGGTCCCCTATGACCAGGCATGCTGACCTGTGCCCCACTGGTAGACAGGGATGCAGTGGCCTGGGGGCTGTGCTGTGTCCCCAGCTGGAGGTAGAAGTGCCTCTGTGAGGTGATCGGTCATCTGGCCCTCCTTGCCGCCATGCCCAAGCTTGCGGAGCCTGCCAAGCCCAGGGACAGTTGGGTACCTGCTGCTGCAGGCTCCGCCCCACGGCCTCTGATTAAACTTTTTTCCCTTTTTTCTTTTGCAGGAAGCTTGTTTCTGATGAACCTACTGACAGCCATCATCTACAATCAATTCCGTGGCTACCTGATGGTGAGCCATGCTGTGCCCCCTGCTGTGCTGTGCCTGAGCTGGCTCTGGATGCCAGGCAGGGTGGGACCCGAGCCAACTGGCCAGGCTCTAGTGGGGCAGGGAGCGAGGCTGCCACTTCCAGTGGACCAGCCCGATCTGCCATTTCTGCTGTGGCTCTGTACCACAGGTGTTGCCATGGCTACCCAGGGTTTCCTTCCTTGCCCTCCCATTCCCCAAGAGGGAAGCTCCCAGAGGTTGTAGCTCCTGGGGTATCTGACCTGCACCCTTTTGGGGGAGCCAGCCCCTAAATACCCAGAGAAATGCAGACATTAGAGGCTTGCTGCACTGAGAACCCCTGTTGGTACCTAGCCCTGCTCTGCCTTGCTGGCTCCTTCCTTTGAGGACTGTCCACTGGAGAGGTGTGACTGTCCTCTGAGGAATGGGGGGCTGTCCCCCCAGCCTTCCTTGGAGGCTTCCCTTTGCTCATCCCCAGGGCAGGGGTCGGAGTTGGGGGAGTGTCTGAGAGCTGGATGCTCAGAGCCGTACTCCTTGTAGAAATCTCTGCAGACCTCGCTCTTTAGACGGCGGCTGGGGGCTCGCGCGGCTTATGAAGTCCTCACCTCCAAGGCAGCTCGAACTACCCCTGAGGCGTGAGTCCTGGTGGGGTCCTCTGTCCCCTTGGCAGACGGGAAGCTGGTGCTCATTGGGAGTTTCCTGAGCCACCCCTGCTGACTGGTGTCATACTCCGACAGTCCATTTGGAATTGTATAAACTGCCCCTGTTTTCTTGCCTCTGAGCCCATTCATACCTGAGCCAGGAATACACATAACTACCTGGACAGAGCTGTGATGGCAGCTGTAGAGAAGGTTCTGATTCCGCCCAACCTCCCTGTGGCAGTGGAATCTGCCTGTCCCTCTTTACAGGGAACTTCTCATCAGAGCCTGTAAGGCGCTTGCAGCACCCCATGGCCAAACGGGCTGGAGGACCTGGCTCCATTGACCATGCTCACTGGGGTGGGGGTTTCTTTCCCACAGAGTTGGGGTGAACCCCGAGAGCTTCCTGAAGGTTCTTCAAAAGACCCAGCTGCAAGACAGCCAGAAACAGGCTATCATGGAGGTAGCTGCTCCCCCGAGCCTGCCCCAGTTCCCGTGCTTGGCTCCATCAGCTTGGTACTCACAGCAGGAGTTGGCAGGGGTTCAGGCCATCCCTCCCTCATTGGCTGACCCACGCTTCCTTCTGCAGAAGTTGCGCTCCTACGAAGGCCGCCTGCTGTCAGCTGACGAGTTCCAGAAACTCTTCGATGAGGTTGACAAAGGTGTGATCCGAGAGGTAACTAGGTCAGGCCTGTGCCACCTGCCTAGCCCGGGCCACCAGGGCTGGTGGGGCTCCCCACTTCCATTGTTTCTGATGACCACTGCCAGGACTTTCCTGCCCTGCGTCCCAGCCCCTTGGATGGGCAGTGGGAACCCTTTGGCTCTTGGAAACTAGGGCGATTTTATTGGCCTGGAATAGTCAGTAGCCAGAGAAGCGGCCTGGGCCCAGCCTGACTGACACAGTGGAACTTTCCACAGGGTTTCTCTGTTTTTGAGACAGATCCTCTGTGTTCCTCTGGAAGGCCTAAATGCTGGCCCTCCCCAAGGCCTTTGCCTCTCATTCTTGACACTTGTGCACAGTCCCCTGGAGAGGGGGACTCTGGCTTTTACTTCAGCCCAGGTCAGAGGCTAAAGCTGTCTGCATTTTCCTGTGTGATTTCTGAGGTGAGCAGATGGGCTGGCTACAGCCCAGGTATCTAGGCCATCTAACCTTGGGAGGGCCAGGGAAGATCCTGAGCAGGGATGGGGTTGAGGTGGACTCAGATGTGTCCTGTGGTTGGACTTTTGTGAGTTCTATGTCACTGCTGTGACATGCTCAGGCCCACAGCTTCAGCAGGCTGACACTAAACTGTCTCATGTCCTCACATGGTCATCATGTGTGTGTGTGTGTGTGTGTGTGTGTGTGTGTGTGTGTGTGGGCCCTGACATCCTCTTCTTATAAGAGCACAGCCATGTGGAATAGGACCCACCTTGGGTCACTCAGTCACCTCTGTCTACAAAAGCCTCATTCTAAAGTGCCAGGGCCAGGTCTTGGGCATGGAAATTCTCTAGGTGATGAAGGTCATCCCGTCAGCTGCTCTGGGATGGTTGTCAGCCTGACTGGTGTCAGGACCACATCGCAGGTAGTTATCGTAAAACCATGTTTTCCTCAGGCCTCTCCAGGCCTTGGAGCTTGAGCCCTCGGGGAGGGGGGGTGGGGAGCATGTTGCTGTTGGCTTTGGGGGTATCACTCCTGGAGCAGCGTTAGCCCTTGGGGCACAGACCATAATTCTAGTGATGTATCAGTGGGACACTTTGTGTATTCAGGCCATTAATCCTCTGCTTGGGCCATGTGGGCCCTGAGGTATCAGAGGGTCCACCTGATTTGGGGCATACTAAGCAGACGCTGGTAGGTGTAGACTTTGTAGAGAATGCACGACTGGGGTCTGGGAGGCTCTGTTCCTCATGGTGGTTCCTGGCCTGGGTGGAGGGCTGCTGGCTAGGAATGATCAGGGCTGAGTGACCACAAACCTAGCCCTAGTTCCTTGATCTTGCCCAGGGTGGCCTGCTGGGCTGCTGCTTGCCAACCTGTACTCTCTCCCCATGCCAGGATGTGAAGGTGTCCACAGAGAGGTGCTGCCTGCCTTGGTGCTGCCGAGGAAGGACAGAGGGATCTTATCATTGTCCATCTATGCAGTGGAGTGGACTCGGGTGGGGTCGGGGGGCTAGCATTTGAGCCATATCCTTCCTGTGGCCCCCCCCTTTCCCAGCTGCCCATTTTTTTCCTGTGGCATGTGAGACCCCTTCTTTCTGTGGTGTCCCAAGATACGAAGGCCAGAATTGGGGTTTGATGGAGGAGTTTGGAGGCGGGCAGTTTTAAGAACTGCAGGTCATTGCCCTGGTCTTAAGCCACTCTTCCCCTAAAGCTGAGTGCAGTGGGGACCGAGTTTTCAATTGTGAGGTGCGGATGCTTCGCAGTTGCTAACATTAGGGGCAGGCTGTATTTGGATTAGCCCCTTCAGAGAAGTGCCCTGGGGCAAGCTGGTGGTGTGGGAACACGTGTGGTTGTCACCTGTCCATCAGCGTGGTTTTGCTAGGGGGTGAGGTGTGAGGGGTGAGGGGTGGGGGGTG